CAAGGGAAGCCAGAGGCGGCTGGCTTCCCTTGCCTCCAATCAAATCGCATCAATTTAGTGTTGCAGTCCTAAAACCCGGAAGTAAGCTGCGCTCGGTTTCCCTCGACAGAAAGCAATGGGATTTCTCCATAGGATTTTGGAAAATAGCTCGAAATAAGGTCAGTGGATAACAAACCTGTTAGATAAATGCATGTTTTGTTCAGCCGGATAATATATATGTCTACCTTACTTTTATTATTTTCGAATCATAAATCTAATCGATAGAAGATAGATAGCGTCACTGCACCACTCTCACCGCCGTTAGAAAGTAGCAAGTGCAATTATGGAGGGTGGAGATTTGGAGTATTTAATCAAAAATAATTGTACTAAACTTCCGCTACAGCAGCAACTAAAAATAAAATCTAATGACAGGCCAATGCCCAAACTGGAGCTGTGTACAGCGAGGAACAAAGGAGCGAATCGGACGTAAAACGTTAAAGGTCTCCTGACTTAGTTTGTGAATGAATGCTTATTAGAGTTTGGGCTGGAGAGCGCGTGCGGACCTGTCGGTTAGATAACAGGCGTGTGTAAGTCCTGCATCTGTATGATACAAATGTGTGTAAAATGATACCGGGTGCTGTAATCACTCATCTGGTTACGTTATCACATTGACCACCACACCCGACCCAAAAGAAAGGACGTATTATTGGCTTCCTCTAATTTTCTCCCCACACCACTCTACTGCAGTGAACAGCAGATTTCTGGATGATAATTCTCAACAGGGTCAATCAGGCCACTCATTGAGACATTTCCACTTTGTGAGTATTTTCTATAACCCATCCCATAGTTTTGTTTCTATGCATTATGTTGTTTAACCAGATGTAGTAGAATGCTTTACTTTTTAATAGTCAATAGTTTAACTAACCCTCAAGGTGCAGATTAAACTTTGTCTGTTTTATGGTAAACTAAATTCAGTAATGTACAGATCAGTTGGTGCAGGTGCGTCTTTATAACATGGTGTGCTTTTCAGCGAGTAAATAAATGTATGAAATCAATCCTGCTATGGAAATGTTTAATCAATCAATCACAAATGATTTTTATGGCCCGATACCACACATCTTAACCCTTCTCTTGCGTTAGGTCCTACCCCCCTTCCCATGCTATTTTCGGTCAAAATTGACCGGTGTGTTTTGCACAGTGATATCTCTGGAACCACTTATCCAATTGTGATGGTTTACATCTCATTTGAACAGTCAAAGCAAGTAGAATCAAGGGGTGACAGACAGAATGACACCAGGGGTGATTTTCATATTATTTTTGGCAGTAAGTTCAAAGATAGTGCTTATTTTACATTACTGTATATTATAAAAATGCTTGCCATGTAGGCTGTGTTTACTGGAGAGGGAGATTATTTAGTTAGTGTTGTAGCTGAGATTCCTCCCGTTCCAATGATGTATGGGATGTATTGATTTGATACAAGCAAGCCAGTGTTTCATGTCATGGTCCGGACCCACCGGTGGGCCCATCAAGTTCAGCATTCACTGTGATGAATATAAAATAAGACACTGATACTGTTTTCTTCAATGAACATTTATTGAAAGAGAAATATACCATAACAGAACATGTGTGTTCACGTGTGTTCACGTACATAGTTGGCAATGCAAAATTGTGGAATGTCACCTCAGGCTCCTCTCCCTCAGGGGATTCTATCTCAGGGGCCTCTATCTCAGGGGCCTCTATCTCAGGGGCCTCTATCTCAGGGGCCTCTCCCTCAGGGGCCTCTATCTCAGGGGCCTCTATCTCAGGGGCCTCTATCTCAGGGGCCTCTATCTCAGGGGCCTCTCCCTCAGGGGCCTCTATCTCAGGGCCTCTATCTCAGGGGCCTCTATCTCAGGGGCCTCTATATCAGGGGCCTCTATCTCAGGGGCCTCTATCTCAGGGGCCTCTCCCTCAGGGGCCTCTATCTCAGGGGCCTCTATCTCAGGGGCCTCTCCCTCAGGGGCCTCTATCTCAGGGGCCTCTATCTCAGGGGCCTCTATCTCAGGGGCCTCTATCTCAGGGGCCTCTCCCTCAGGGGCCTCTATCTCAGGGGCCTCTATATCAGGGGCCTCTCCCTCAGGGGCCTCTATCTCAGGGGCCTCTATCTCAGGGGCCTCTCCCTCAGGGGCCTCTATCTCAGGGGCCTCTATCTCAGGGGCCTCTCCCTCAGGGGCCTCTCCCTCAGGGGCCTCTATCTCAGGGGCCTCTATCTCAGGGGCCTCTCCCTCAGGTGCCTCTTCCTGGTCTGTTGTAGGCTCATAGTCTGGATCGCTGTTGTCTTCCATTTCTGAGACATCTTCCTCTATCTCCTCTTCATCTGGTTCAAAAATTGTCCAGAGCCCCTCGTACAGAAAATCGCCTAATCGGTCACCGACTCATTGTGTCAATGAGTCAAATGTGAGCAAGGCACAAATATACCTGCTTGAGAGCCAGTAAGGGAGGCGCATTTAGCGCAAGAAAGTGAGAGGCTTGTGTTTCTCGAGGGGCACAGAGCTCACACCTGTGAGAAGGTATGACACATTGTATCATACAGCGTGAGAAAGGGAGAGGTTCTCATAATGTGTGTGTGTGTGTGTGTGTGTGTGTGTGTGTGTGTGTGTGTGTGTGTGTGTGTGTGTGTGTGTGTGTGTGTGTGTGTGTGTGTGTGTGTGTGTGTATGTATATGATGTTTTCCATCTGCATTTTCTATGGCGGTCGAATCTGACCGAAAACATCATGGGTGTTTCACTGTTGAATAAATCACTCAAAATGCAATGCAAGTGGTGATCATCAAGTGTATATGTTCAGAGGCCTAGTGTGGAGGATAACATAAGGTATTGAGGCAATTGGATGAAAAACACAATATTTATGATTAAAATAAAAGTCATTCGGTGACTTTTGACCCAAAACGCAAGAGAAGGGTTAATCAAATTAATTAATCAGAAAAATGTGTCATTATTCGTCCCGAGGAAAATGGACATTGTTACAGAAATAGAGGGTTAAATGCAATAGTAAGGCTATCATGATTGTTGTCAACATGAATATTAAAGTCACCCACGATAATGACTTTATCTGTTTTAAGCACTAAACTTGCCTCTAGATGTGTGTGTATATATATATATATATACATATATATGTATGTATGTATTTCGATCCCCTTGTCTGCAACAAAAATACAGGAATTGTCATTTAAGCTGACATATTGTTTGAGTATCAGCCAAGTTTCAGTGAGTGATCATAAATACATGTTATCTTTGTTGCAGCCATTTTATCTGTATGTTTTATTTGTTAATCTGTTGTAATAATCTCCTGAACACTGGGAGGTGCAGGGAAGCATAAAGGGGAGCTCACCAGGACAAGAGGATTGTATGAAATTGTTTTTATTTTGTTTTTATATGATCAGAATAGACAGTATTGCAAATTACTCAGTGGTTTTGAGTCGAACATGTCATCTCACTAAGTGTGTTCATGTTCATGGTCTTGTGTTAATCAGTCAGTCACTGCCACATTTGCCAAAACAATGTTGCGTCATCCTTTGTTTTATTTACATATACCTCTCAATATTTAGAGCATGTGCTGCCACAAGATGGCGTCCTGTCTGTGAGCAGCTTGTTCTCAAAGTGTTGGGGTTCCTGTTTAATGATGTGCCATAAAGACACTTCTTGAAATACTGTGCAACAATCACCTTTATGTGAAACAATCATTGTAATGAATGTCCCAACATTTATTTTTGTGTGTCAATAAGTTCTGAAGTTCACAATTTTAGCCATGGATGTGTACTTACCTACTTATTTGTCTTTATGTATATTCTGGTATATGTAATGTGTGCTTTTCTTCTATGTATTAATATGTTAGCTTATTAGCTTATTCTGTATTATTGCATACCCTTTTTTCGTTTACCTGCTATGCTACTTTTGCTGTAACAATGTACATTTCCCCGCTGTGGGACTAAAAAAGGATTTCTGATTCTGAATAAATACATAATTCTAATTTCATTGTGTTCATGTTACCTCATTGCACACAAATGCAATAATAGAATACTAGAGTTTCCCCAGTTGTCCTGGAGACGTAATGCTGTGAATGCATGTATAGAACATATACTTTACTTTGGTCAAGTTTTGAAAACAAACCTTGAATTGTAAACGTTTTTCTACCCTTCTACAACATTTGAAAATGTAATACATCAGTGGGGATGGTGATGTACTGTAAAGAGAGAATGCACCCTTCTGTGGTGGTGAGAGAAACTGCAGGCTGCAAGAATGTCTAATTACTATCCAAACCTCTTAACTATGTGATTCAACAGTTTCTAGATTAACCATTTAAACTGTGTGCGTCACTCAGGACATTTTTGGCTTGACGCTTTCTTATTTTTCAATAATTTTGATTGAAAAACATTTTTTATTTTTTTTGGGAGTTTTGATTTAAAAAGTCTGAATTTAGACTTTTTACTTTTGATCAGAAAATGATTTTGGTTTGACAAGTCAAAATCTTGACTTCTGACTTTTTTTTAATCAGAATTTGGAAAATATTTGAATTTTTGCATATTTCTGGTAAAAAGTCAACATTTTGATATATATATAATTCCAAAGCTGGTAAAGACCTTTCAAATTTAGCAATAATTGTCATATAAGAAAAATACTGATCTAATAACAGAGATTTGTTCTTGAATCAACTTTTTTATGGAAAATATTGTATGTAATTTTATTTAATTTGAAATAAAATGAAATACATTCACAGTTAATGTAATTAGATATACATGATTAATGCCATACATGTTTGCATACATCCACAGTAAATATTACTTCAGTATGATAGCTGTCTACCCAGAAGTTAAATCCATTTCTCACTTATTCGAAGAATGTATTTAACCCACTAAAAGGAGTTGTTAAATAGTGAAGTTACGTTGTAATAACAATAACTCATCTCTTGTTCAGCTTAATGTTTTTTTCTGCTCTGCGAAACGCCACTGTATCAAATGTCCTATTGGGTTGCCGTATTTACCTGTCCTGGTCGACCATCTCGCGCTTCCGCAATGCAAATCACGCAGTCAAACTCAAACTGCGTAGCATGGACATTATTTACAAGTGACGGGTGAGTACATTACTATTCTCATAGTTTTAGAGCGACCTGAGAGTGCACAATGACATAAGTTTAATACTAGATTACTTCATTGATCAATGTTGGGAGAGACTGTTTGGCATAATGTGCGCATTACTCGATTATGGCTGCGTTGGCTGGAACAGAGACGTGTAAAGACTGTGTACTGTCTAAAGCCCCACGGTGCGCCACTGGTAATACATTCACTTTGTACCACTAACATCACCACTATAGAAACTAAAACAGATTGGTAGATGATTTCCTTTTAAAAGCAAACTCATCGTCAAAGCTAATGATTATAACAAACTTCTTTTCACTTATATACAGTTTATAGAAACATAGAGTAGTTTAGACAAAGTCATTGTTTCACAATATTCGAAAAATATAATTGTCTCTAAAACAAAGATTGTTAAGAGCATGTTTTGTTTTATTAACACCAAAACTATTTTCAAACTCTCCCTAGGTTCTTTAACCGAGCATTTGGTTTCCAGCTGAAGTAGATTTGTTCCTGCAGTGACATTATGGCGACAGCATCAACAGGTGAGTTCAGAATGTGTTATTGAGGACAGAGTTGCGTGTAACAAAGTAACCCGTTACTGTAATATTACAGTAACGTGTTACATTACTTAATTAATGTAATGTTATATAACATTACATTTGTCGGTGACGAAGTTACGAAAAAACGCGTTACTGTTATACATTCAGTAATAACACTACAGTTTCTAACATTGCTCGAAAAAATTACTAGATTCTCCCTTTGACAGACTAGACTAGTAGTTACTACATTATTCAGAAGTTTACAGTAACTTTGGATAATAACACGGCGGGTTTAATGCACGGAGCCTCTCTCTCTCTCTCTCTCTCTCTCTCTCTCTCTCTCTCTCTCTCTCTCTCTCTCTCTCTCTCTCTCTCTCTCTCTCTCTCTCTCTCTCTCTCTCTCTCTCTCTCTCTCTCTCTCTCCTGACAGCCCGTCTGTGTCTCATGCAGCTCGCTGATCCAGTAATGAGTCACCTGACACGACAGTAAATAATAAACATGTATAACTAGTTTAGCTAGTTCCAGGGGTAGATAAGATGGGTAGATAAGACTGGTAAATGTGATAGGTCTAACGTTTAACATTTTAAATATTTCAAGTCACTAGAGGGATTTCCGGCACAGGTTTATATTTCCGTAACATTTGTGCGACTTGTCCACATGCAGCTGTCACAGGGGTTGAGCTGCAGACTGAGACTCAGCTATAACTTTTGAGGGGTGGAGGCAGGCACGTGCACACATAGACATCAAAGTGGACTTGATCCCCTGCCCCTTTTCTTCCTCCAGAGAAAGTGCCCTCCCCCCCCCCCCCCTCATTTTTTATTTTTATAAATGAATATATATCTACTGCTGTTTGCGCACAGTTTCCCTTTCCAAAAATATAATAAATAATAAACATATGCCGGCTTGTTAGCAGATTTAGACTTATACATCTTGTCTCTCTGCAGCAGAAAGGTGACTATTCTCACAGTTCAAGTTTAGCCATTCATCACAGCGTTATTTATTAGATGCACACATGTCAAGAGACTTGAGGACAGAGAGAGAGGGGGCGTGACTCCAACGGTCTTATACCCCAGGTAGTGACATCACCATCATGTGCTACAGCGCTATCCAATGAACACAGTAGTAGTCGCAGCTACTTACACAAACAATATGGTACACAGTATTACATGGAGTCATACAATATACATGTCTCTGTATGCTATACCTCAACACTCCCAGTATGAATTATGTGCTTACTGTTTACCTGTTCATATTTAATTAACAAAGCAAAAACATGGTACAAATGATTCAAATGTGGGCTTTTTCTACACATTTTACACCCCAAACATGATCCCTTCAAATTTCCTCAGCTTCAGTTTGGAGACAGGCTTGGTCATCACATCTGCAACCATTTCATCTGTAGGACAATAAACCAGTGACATCTTTCCCTGCCTTATGGTGGACCTTATGAAGTGGTATTTAATATCCACGTGTTTACACCTTTGTCTACACACAGGATTTTGAGCAAGGGCTATTGTCCCCTGATTGTCCTCGTTTACAACTGTTTTCTTATACACGTATGCATCTATACTAGCGATGTTAAGATTCACCGATTCGCATCGGTGCACCGGCATAAACGTTAAAGATGCGAGTGCACCGGTTGAAAGAGTGCACATCGGCTACAGTTTGGGTTGAACTCGCGATGCATCGATTGCAGCGTCTTTGCATCGGTAAAAAGCGATTCATTCATATAATATCCCCTCATCCTGTCAGCACTCTGCAGAGACGATCTTTGATCTTTGCTTCGCACTACGGAGGCCGAGAGTCTCAGTTATCAACACACACGGAAGTCGAGGAGAAAGAGAAACACAGCGCACCGAAAAATACCTACAAATCAAACGTTTGGCAACACTTCGGATTGTTCAAGAAAGACGGTCAACAAAATCGCTCGCAAATTGTAAACGATGCCGAGCCGCTTTAAAGTACACAAGTAGTACGAGGAACTTAGCGACGCACATAAAGAGGCGACATGGGGTCTGCGGCTGAAAAGAGAAACATGAAAGTTCAATCACTCAGTGAGGTGTTCTGTCAGAGAGAGCGGTGTTTAGTTTAGTTTACAGCAGCCTGTGACGGCCAACAATAGTTGAAATGTCTTACTTACTGTAAGCAGTTATGAAAGAGCTGTTTGTGAAAGGTTATTTGTATTTTTTATTGTTCATATTGAACCCACTGCCATAGGCGGCGCGTGAGGCTCAGGTTTGGGAAGGCTAAATAACTTGTTTTACCTGTCTATAGAAAAGAGATCAACTCTGTGCGGAGTTTAAATCTCTCAAGTCATATTACAGGATAAAGGAAATACAGTTTAAACTGCCGTATGCAGAGAAGACGCCGACGTGTCGCACTTATCATTCATATTACATCATCAATCAGATCATCGATCATAATATATCATATATTTCCTTATCTGCCGTATCTGGCCGTGCAACACTCACAGTGTCACAGACTGTATGCAGAAGTATTATTTTAAGCAACACATTATGTTGACAAAACACTCGACACAAATGTAATTAAAGTCAGATCCACGAGTGTCCAGTGGCGTTTTCTCCCGGAGGCCGAGGGAAGCCAGGCTTCCCCTGGTTTTTCGGATTGTAGTTATAATTTAAATAAATAAATAAAAACACTTTGTTTTGTTTAGATAATTCTCCTTTGCTGTGTGTTGCTGCCGGCCGGCTCTCCCCCATTCTCATTGAGTACTTTACAAAGAGTGAAACAAACAGCGCCCCTCTAGATGTTATGGTGAAACACTAGATTGCACTCACTGTTGCGAGAGGAGGCCAGCCGAATCTTGCTTCCCTTCAGAGGCAGCTGGCGGCTGGCGATTTGATTGGACACTGCCATCCAATCAAATCACATCAACATCAGTTTTAATACTGTAACTGTCATCACCGCCGTTAGAAATTATCAAGCAAATGAAGCATTATGGAGGGTGGAGATTTGGCGTACTTAATCAAACATAACTTTACTAAACTTCCGCTACAGCAGCAACTACAAATTAAATCAGATGACAGGCCAATGCCCGCACTCGAGCTGTGTGTACACAGAGGAAAAAGGGAGAGAATCGGACGTTCAATGAGGATAATTATGTCCGCACGGAGTGGCTAACTGGAAGCGCTAAACTTCAGCGTCTAATTTGCTGGCCATGTCTTGTTTTTGACAAGGATTCGTGCTCCCTGAACAATCCTTGGGCAACTTCAGGATTCATCGACCTTGCCAACCTGTCACGGGCAATTGAGAGGCACGGTAAATCCAAAAATCACATAGATTGTGTGATTGTCTGCATACATTAATAAGTCAAATGCTTAAATTAATAAGGAGAGAGTTTCAGCGGGAGAGTGTGTGCGGACCTGTCGGTTAGATAACAGGCGTGTGCAAGTCCTGCATCTGTGTGATACAAATGTGTGTAAAATGATACCGGGCGCTGTAATCACTCATCTGGTTACGTTATTGACCACCCTCCCCCCCCCCCCCCGCCCAAAAAATGAGCTTCCCCTACATTTTTCCCCACGCCACGCAACTGCTCGTGTCTTAAAATGGGGCAGTGATATCATAAAACGATACGCTTTCAAACACTCGGTAGTTTATTTATTAACCAGTTGTTCTGTATTCTCCTTGCAGGTGCAACTATGTGGCTTGTATCCTGGATTATATGTTTAAGTCATCATGGATGTTTAAAGTTCATATTTGTCTAATATTAGTTTACTTTTCATTAATGAATTATGACGCTGCGCTGTCAGTACACTTGTCCCTGTTTGTGATTGGTCAAATGTAGCTAACCCCGCCCCTTTCACGTGAACGCGCTCTCAGCTGGAGAGAGAAACCCTGGCTTGATTTACCGAGTTGATAACCAGCGTCGTAGGACCGTTTAGCGAGATCTCGTTTGTTAGTTTGTTTGTTACTCAAACATATCCAGGGTCTGTTGAACTGGCTTCGTAGTACAGGGCACAGGTGGCTGGCAGCGCTAATGTCAAAGACACAGACATTATATTTGTATTTTACCAGGATGCAGTTACACAAATATTTGGGAAGGCTTAGCCTTCCCTAGCCTACAGCACCCGCCGCCCCTGCCCACTGCTTTCTGCTCTCTGGTGAGTGAGCCTATGAATGAGTGTTCAGCACATCAGGCTGGCAGCTGTATGGGCATTGCTCTATGGTAGCTGTTATTTGCACATTGTTAATCATGAGCAATGCATCCTTAAATTGTTTAACTGTGAGGTGTTATACAATTGTACTCTGGAGAGCTTTTAAAGGTAAACAAATAAACGGCATGATGGGATGTGCAGTACCAAATATGTAAAGCACTTTTTTGTTAATGTATGATTTGCTGCATATAAGGAATCAAACAGAAATCCTCTGTCGTACCATATTGAAGTATCATTATTTTGCATCGTGTTGAATCGTATCGCCCCGAATCGCATAATGTTGAATCAAATCGTATCGAACTGTATCGCAACAGGGGTGAATCGTATCGTATCGCCTGGTGTTTCAAATGTATCGTTAATGTACATATTGTGGCAACGTATCGAGATGCGCATCGCATCGGCCTCAGTGATGGAGATGTACATCCCTAATCTATACCTTCCAGTAGCTGTTCCAAGTAAATACACTCCTGTATTGTTAGAGCTAGAGCCATATACTCAGCTTCACATGTGGAAAGCGCTACTGTAGGCTGTTTTCCAAGAGACTATTGAGCTGTCCTTACTCATGCTCACACAATACCCTGTCATACTGCGTCTATCTGTTTTATCTGCAGCCCAATCAGCGTCACTATAAGCCCGTAGGCCTAGTTTCTCGCTGCTCTTTCTGAAACAAAGCTGTTTGTCTGCAGTACCCCTGAGATAACGCAAAACATGTTTTACTGTAACCCAATGCTCATCTGTCGGTTCAGCAAAATGTTGTGATAACTTGCTTACCACGAAACATAGGTCTGGACGTGTACAGGTAGTCAAATAAATAAGGCTGCCGAC